TTTTTTTTTTTTTTTTTTTTTTTTTTTTTTTTTGTACCTCTTCTCGACGATGATCCCGATGTTCATGAAATAGTAGGCATTAATCTGTAAAGGGGGAAAAGAAATATTGTCTCACCATTTGGAAGTCTTTCACGCGCAGAGGGGCAGTCAATCTAACATGGTCTGTTCAACCGATCCCGCGTCTTTTCCTGTCCTTACTATTAAGCTCCAAACGTTGGAGTGGAAAAAGGTGGCCGTCAGTAATTTGTAGTACTGGTGATTGTTCGTAACGGAATTCCTACTCATGCCATATTGCTTCAGCACAGTTCTGCAGGGGTGGAGGAATGAGGGATGGCCCAAGTGAAGACAGCTACGCGCAAACAGGAAACAGAAAAAAAAAAAAAGAGGCAGACAAGAGTCTCCACCACTTGGCTACTCGCCAGACGGCTCGCTCTCCTTACTCGTTCAGATAGAGCGGGGCCTGCTTATCAAATTTGCACACATTCAAAATGAAGAAGGTCAAATACAGGAACAGGAAAAAAAAAGTGGTGATGCTGTTCACAGTAAAGGACGGAAATAAAATCTGAATAAACGAAATGTCCTTCTTGAACGTCTTGTTAAAGCACATAGTATATTTACATGTTAGCAGGTTGCCATCTCTGAATTTATTTGATTTGGAATTTTTTGAAGAGTTAGAAAATATGTTCATTTTGCTTTATTTCTCTGAATAGGGTAATTTTGGCTACATATACTTTTTTTTGAGGAATGACTTTGGAGAGAGTCCTCTTGGGTTAGAAAAAAAAAATGCGGGGAGGACGAGAAGGGAAACACCTCACTATAACAACACAACTTGCGACAGCACGGGTGGGTCAGATAACAATAAAAAAAAAAAAAAAAAAAAAAAATGGGCCAAATTCTCAAATAAGTGGGGGTTGGTTTTTATTTATCTGTAGGTATGACGGCATGGATCTACATTCGTCCTTTTATATGACTTAACGCATGGCATTAATATTCTTCTTCACCTTTTGCGTTCATCAAATTGGAAACAACTACCTTGCAGGGTAAAATTGTTTTAGGGGGGCACTGGCATCGCTGGTGACGCCGGTTTACTATCATCTACCTTTTGTGGGGCCTTTTTTTTTTTTTGGGGGGGGGGGTTTTCCACTGGGATTTTCCCAAATTGCGCAGTTGCACTTTTATACACGAAGAGCGGTTATTCCTTATGTGGAAATACTTCTATACTACATTTTTAGCCTGTACACGTCACTTCTGCATGGCTATACCTGTGTCAATGTTTATTTCCCTTCTGGCCTACGACTCTATTCTTCTCCACCTGCACTTTTTTTTCACCTCCTGCTTTTCGTACTAGTGCACCATTTTTTTTTTTTTTTTCTTACGCCCTCCGGAAAAGAAGCGACGCACCTACGGAATGGCATTTCTCTCTTTGGCTCGTCATAATTGTAAACTAAGGCGCAAACGTGTAAACAAAAAAAAAAAAAAAAAAAAAAAAAATCCTCAGTTGTGCATTTTTTTTTTTTTTTTGTTCCCCTCTCATTTCGCTACAAAAGAGGTGTTGAAATTTTGCTTGTGATTCCTACCACACTCTGTTGGCGACACAGTTCCCCATATCAGAGTGAAGATATTAAAAATAGGCCCACGAAGGAGAACACATTATCCCCCCACAAATGTGAATGTGGGAAGGTTGTGTTCGCTTGATGGGAAAAAAAAAAAAATTAGCACATCACCAATTAACACGCAGAAGGGAAACTTCCTCTCCAAGTGGTCCTGCTTCGTCGTTTTGAATTAGAGAAGACGGAGGAGGGAGGACACGGGACAAAGGAATGAAATGTATGTGAGGAAAGTAAAAAAAAATTATGAACAAAGGTAAGGTTGTTTGTGTAAAAGAAAAATATCGACCTAGCGTTAATAAGTGCGGATGTGTGATCCCCTTCCCTTCAATGGACGTTCAGAAGTGATGTGCGTGTTAGCTTGTCCTTCCCAGTTAGCATACACCATACCCCTGCATGGACCGAAGTCGTTACACATGTTCTGCTAAGACCAACGTGTAGGCAGATGCGTAGTTGTGCCCGTCACGTCACTTCCCCATAGGTGTATACACGCGCACCTCCGTATGAACGAAAAAGCTTCTGAAGCCACCAAAGGAGAACACTATGAGTGAGGGGATGCTATCTAAGTCGACCCTGCTACTGTTGATATACGAAATAATAAAAGTAAATAGTGACATTTTGAAGAACAGTGAGTTGGAGTTAAGTACAGATGCCTCTGACGATGACAACGCTGGGGGGGAATCTACGGAAAAGAGGTTACCTTATGGTATGGAAGAGGATCAGGCGGGAACTCCGCCGCTGGAGGAGGGTAATATGAAAGCAGCAATTCTGAACGCTGCCAATGGAAATCTACTAGGAGATCACTCCACTTCCCCCAACGCGCATAAGCCAAGTGGTACAGGCAAGGACAGCCCCACGTATGCACTCCGCAGCACAGAAGAAAAAAAAGTAACCAATATTTTATCAGGTAAGTTAAAAGGCATGGGCAAAGACATTGGTAGGAAGCTTATCGAGCGAGTGCTCATTTACAAAAACGATTTTAATGATCTTAAGGACATGGCCAAACTGGTCGGAAGAGATGTGTGGTTAGTTTTGTTCAATAAACATGTGGACAAAATACAGACTTACAAAAAAGGGGTTTATGTGCTCACAGACAACGACATGGGTACTTACTTAAACCACTTACTCCTCGACAACGACACGAACCACAAGTCCAACTTTACTCACTACGTGCTTGTGCTCATACTTGGAATCATCAAGGGGGTTTTGAAGCGGTTCCGCGTGAAGAGTTCCGTCACCTACACCCTGGACTATCCCACGTGTACGAAATGGAAAAGAGAGACACACAGCCACGCTGCGATGAGCGCGATTAGCGGTGCTATTAGCGGCGCGAACGAATTTCAGACCAAGCCAACATCGCAGACGCAGCAAATGCTTCTTCACTCCATTTGCTCAACTTCGAACATTTATCCCTTCATTACCCCACCCCGCAGGCTCCTTCCAAATAAATATAATTGACGATTCACAAGGCGGATATGCACTCCCATCCTTAGAAGCACCAAATCGCATGATGTGAAGGGGCGCAGAAATGGGAGTAGCTCGTTATGCTCTACCTTACGTAACACAGTGCGGGGGTTAACACACCCCTGTCCTTCTTTCGCTTCCCTCATCGGGGGTTATAGGTTGCCCCCTAACCAGTTTGCCTTCTTAAAAGGGTTAGTGTGTGTGTGGGGGGTAGCATACCACATGTCAACTGTGAAAACGGGGTCTACCCCCCAACACCGTACCCCCTCGTGACAACAATCTTCCCACTGCGCTCATCAACGTACTCGTATTTGTTTAACCCATGACACTTCCTTCCAAAAATGAAGGTCTCCTTTTTTGAAGACGAGTGTTCCACCTTGGTGGAGCCGTCATGTGTATCCCCCTGGTGTGTTGCCATGTGGTCTGTCCACGTGTTTGAAGAATCCAACTCACCACAACTGAACAACTTGTCTTCAACAATGTCGAGGAAAATTTGTTTCCTTTTTTTAAATGGCTCTTCGTAGTTCACTCTCGCTGGGTGACTTTTGTAAAATCCTTTTTTTGCATTTTGAATTTTCGCGCATGAGGGGAAGATGTGATAGTCGCGGTTCTTGATTGGATGGTCGTCCTGCTGTGTAGCGGATGGGCCGCCCTGCTGTACCGCGTAAACGCTTCCCATCTCTGCTTCCCCCTCGTTGAAGCGAACCAAGTGAATTATTTCTTCCCTCTGGCCTGTCTCCGCTTCGCCCAGGTGGTTCAAATTGTACAAGCCTACCTCCTTCAGGAAGAGGCGAACAAAATTGACCTTATCCTGCATGGAGTGCAGAGCCATGTAGGAGGCCACGTCCAGGTGGAAGAGGTCCACGTTAAGCAAATTCATGTGCCTCTTCTTCATTTGGTGGAATCCATTTAGGGTACACGCATTGCGCAACATTTTTTTCGGAAGTAAAAAGTCAATACACAATTCCCTTTCTCCTGTCCCTCCCCCAATTGAAACATCAAACACGTAGGGTTTTTTTTTCTTCAAAATTTCGAAGCGGTGTATACGAAGGTGCCTCAAAATGGAGGCTAACTCCTCGTGTATTTTGCTACCCTGTTTGTCCTGCACAAAATGGAGGTTGTTTCTCACAAAGGTGTTAATGGAAAGGGGGAATTTGTTCAAAAAGGAAGGTGCCTCGAAATATAAGCAATAACAAATGGTACCCAGCATCTGCCTCCTTTTATTATTGTTACACGAATTATTAATTCTTATATACTGCCTGAAGAACAATTCCATGAAGGGATAATTGAACGTCTGCGTTAACACCAACCCGTACGTAAATATAACGAGTTGTTTTTCTGCGAAGGCTGGTAACAACTCCGTCCCCTTTTGTACACACATATGGTAGAAGTCCTTGTTGTGATAATTCAGCTTGGACAGGCTAAGCACAATGAGGCTCAGATTTATCGGGGAAATATTTTCTATCCTTCTTGTTACCACTTGGCATAATTTGTGCAGCAGGTCCTCGTCTAGTACTTTTATTTTTCCCATGGTGTGAATCACGTTTGTTATATTTACATCGTTCAGGTTGTCGGCGTGCCTACGGAAGAGCTCCAGGCAGGCGCGCACGAAAGACTCCTCGTAGTGCCTGTTCCTCCCAAGTGAGTAAAAAGACAAACACACGGAGAGCAGATCGAAGTGCTTCTCCCGATTCTCGAACACGGAAGCCAAATGTTTATACAAGCATTTGTAGTAGCGAAGGTCGAATTGAATGTCACTTAAAATGTGCAAATAAAGAGCGACAGATTTGACTTCCACATTTTTTATCTCCTTCTTTATTCGGTTGTGAAAAGAATAAAATATTTCAATGGGAACCAAGTTCAGTTTGTAAAAATTATACAGAATGGATATTAAGATGGTTGGCTTCTCGCAGAAATGACTTTTTCTCTTTTTAATAACGTGAATTATACACCTGAGCAGCTTCAAGTAGGTGTTCCTATGCTCGTCATAGGGGTTGTTTCCGCGTCGACGCTTCAGCTCACTGCTGTGATTCACAATGAACTGCGTTTCTGCTTCAGCCGCGGTTGCATTGGCCCCATGAACACCCTCCCTCTTCTCTGCATGGGTGTTGCCATCCCTTCTGCTTAACCCTGTTTCTTCTTTTATATATTGGTCCAGCTTACCCAACTTGGTCCCCTCTCCACGCTGCATCGCTGTCTTCCCATTCGCATACACCACGATGTCCCTCTTCTGAACCTTCACACTGATCTTCCGCAAAAAATGTAAAATGCATAGCATGTCGAGGTGGTTCAGCACGGATGAATTGAGCAGGATGTATTTGCTCATGTACAGGACGTACTCGTTTGGAGAGCAAAACATGGTAGAGTATGCATAAAGAATATAACTGAGAGTACTGTTGTTTAGAAGATTCGTATATACATTTAGCATATTGATTCTTCTTTCATTCCTCCGTGGCTTGCTTGCCCTTTGTATCAACTCCACCGTGTGCTTGTAATCGTCACTCGCTTCTATACTGCGTGCATCTGAAGAAACTAGCCTGGTCAGTTTATTCGTCTTGTAAACCTTTATATGGTTACACACAGCACGTAGGACGTTCTTAAAATATGTGTACTTATTAAGGCGTAAGTTTTTGTAGCTCATGGCTAGTGAAAGGAGGAGAGTGGGGGATAAAGATTCAGTCCCTATTTGTGTGTTGATGATCTCAAATAAATTATGAACTAACTTTATTTGTTTCAACACATTGTACATCACCTTGGACTTGGACAAATTTTGTAATTCATAAATGTACTGGGACAACTTCACAACCTTCTTATTTCGTTCCATCTCGTTTAGTTTCTTCAGACATAGAATGAGAGCTTGTTCGCTCTCCTTGTGGATGTAACTTTTGGTGTAGGCGGAGAAAATTTTGTCGCTGTTGGGTCGCTGTGCTGGGGTTGTGGGGTCCACGAGCACCTTCGTCAGGGCGCCTAGTACGGGAGACTCCACCCCCCCTACTGTGGCGAATTCCCTCAAGTGGGCAGGCAGCCCACCCCTGCGACATATGTATAACGCTCCCATGGTACTTTCTCTTCTCAAATAAAAATAATTCCTAATTTGTATGCATCTTTACACGGGCCGGCATTTATGTGTTAAGCGACAGCTCTATATATGTCACTCTCCACCACCACCCAACCCCTTTTGTGTGAGCCTTCCTTCACTCATTCCTTGGTGTAGTATTCTTGTTGTTCAGTTTCTTTGCGTCGACTCTTCTTCCCATTTTGTATTGGTTAATTACATTTATAGAGGTGATCAACTCTGCAGGGACAAAAAAAAAAAAAAAAGTGTTGCGGCGGCAAGGGGAAACACTGCACTATGAAAAACCAATGCGGGGCAACTACCACCCTACCACAGAAAAAAAAAAAAAAAAAAAAAAAAAGAGCCCACATGGGAAAGTACCATACGCTAGAAGCCTATCTGTGCTCCTCTCTTTTTCTTTTCCGCTTCGCACCAGTGCACAGTGCACACCTGAGAAAAAAACATGGAGGAAGAATTTCTCTGCCCTAAGTAGTTAATGCTAAACAGTGGAACAAAAAAAAAATATGACCACGCTAACACATTTGCACTGGCAAAAAGGAAGAAAAAAATATACGCTACGTGATTTTCTCCACAATCTATATATGCACAATACATTTGTGCAGGTTAGAAGGGAACCCTTTTGGGGGGAAGCACAAAATTGAGGCTTCTTTTTTTTTTGTCAATCGAGCACCCACTCAAATGAGTAAGAATTAAATGACCTGCACATCGCTTAGTGCCCACGGTCTCTTTGGCGAACTTTACACTTCCTACCATGTGAAAAATGATTGGATGTGAGACAACACCAGGAGGCTGCTATTTGTGACAAGTGTAATAAGACTATAAAGGGGGGGCAACGCCTTTTGAAGAGGGCCAAATTTGTTTCTCCTTCAAGGCGCACACGAGAAGCGGTGTACGCCTGTCGAGTATGTTAACAATTGGGCAGCTCTCCACAACATGGGCAGGTGCAGCAGGAGGAGGAGTGCCTTACCCAAGCAAAAAGGTTAAAGGAAAGGATCCCTTTGTATAGTTGAGAGACAACACTGAGTTGTACAAATGAGCCAAGAAAAGGGAAGCTCCCCTCCACGGAGGAACTGCCTTAACATATTCTTTCCTCAACAAGTGGAGTGCACTGAGGCGAACTTAAAACACTACCTGTATGGAGTCCGCACCCACGACACATGCGTAGTGATGCACATTACACACAAACAGGTAGGGAAAGAAAAAAAAAAAAAAAAAAGAACATACACACACCCATGTGCATGGTACCTGACCGTGCCTAGGGGTAAACATTTGGAGTCTTCCTTTTTTTCAACCATGTGGGAAGTTCGCCAAGGGTACTCTCCACATAATTTTCTCTCCTAATCAGTTAAGCTGTCCCCCCCCCACAACCTCCCCCCTTCTCTTGCAGAATGGGACTTTTGTAAAGGAGCACCACGAAGGGGTCCATGTAGTGGGCGAGCTAATCTTCGCGCAGGATGTGAAGGACGTGAAGGACGTACACAAAACAGGTGTGTTAAAAAGGCAGGACGAAATTGGGTGCGACTATCTATACGTGGCTCATTATGGAGGGAGACCTGTTCTTATAAGTGAAAAAACAAAAGAGGTAAAAAATCAGGACGCCCTGTTCATATTGTATAATTTGAACAAGTACATCTATATCATGTCGGAGGACCATGTGAGTAAGCTCGTGTGGGAGGCACTTGGGCGACATGGCATGTTGAGCAAGCAGGGGGTTACAAACAATGGGGCGGACAAAATGGGGGCAGAAAAAATGGGGGCAGAAAAAATGGGGGTAGAAAAAATGGGCCTTGACGATATTTACAAGGGCAGCGATAGGGAAAGGGACCCCCAGGAAAAGTCCCCTCCTGATGGAAATGATAATAACCAGGGTGGTGACAAGGACGACCACATTCACCACACAGATCAGTTGGACCATTCTAACAGGCGAAATGGTGGCAGCGGGGGGGTGGGTGGCCCAGCAAACGAGCAGACACTCAACATGCACGAAATAATAATCCTCTTGAACAAAAAAGACACATACACAGAGAGGATAGAAAAGGGTGAAGAGGAGAATGGTCCATGCAGTGACAAAGACGACACCACCAACCGTAACGAGAAAAAAATAAGCTACACCCTTTCGACCCTCCTCTTTTTAACATACGTCGTCTCATCAGTGAGCATATCATTTTACTACCTCCTGTGTATATTGGGCAAACTGAACTTGAGGGTTTTTTCGAACAATATAAAAACCTCGCTCAGTTTTTTTAAAGAGAGGTTGTACATGCACTCGGAATGGCACCCCTTGTTGACTGGCTTAATGAAAAGTAAACAGAACCCATGCGATTATGCAAAATACAAAGAGCTTCTCCTCATTCGGTTATGTAACTTGGTCATAGATGTTCTGTTGGGCTTCTTCCTTTTTATAATTCTCTCTTATGAAATAATAAACCTACGCTTCGCCTTCCAGAAAGCGAGCGTCTTATATGACTCCGGCACGTTGACGTAAGCATACGAAGAGTGGTGTCGGTCATGTGCCACGCGTTACAGGAGTGGAGGGAGAGACAAGTGTGGAAAAGCGCTTTGCAGTATATACGTGTTAATGGAATGCCAATCAAACTTTGCTCATGCGTACCAAATTAAGGACACCCCTTATATCTTTTTCAACTTATTATACTTTTTATTATTCTCCATCACACGCCTTTTTTTTTTTTTGCAACAGGTCCATACTGGGAACCCTACTGCAGAACCCTCTGGGGTTGAAGCTGAACAACAATTTCACCTCCTTCATTGGTAGTATAATCGTTTCTATACTGGACAAGTGGTTCGTGCACCTCGTATATTATAAAGTGACCCCACCGAAGGGGGGCTCGCTCATATCAACATAAGCAGCCACGTGGGTCTGCACGAATAAGCATTTCACCATGGCCTATTCACTACCGATTAACCCCCCATTCACACCTTCTCAGGGATTATTTGAAAAATGCTTTTCCTTTGAGGAGCTCCTCGGCTGTGCATCTCCTAAAGCTATCGTCCCTCTGCGGGGCTTCCTTTTTCCTCTCTTTCTTTATGGACTACCTGAAGCTGATCACTGTGCATGTAGGGAGATATAATGGCGACAGGCGTGTGGAGGAGGAGAGGCCGTCTCACTTGTATCACCACTTATCAAGTTGACTGCGCCAATTGTCTTGCGCTGGGTCACATACACGGGTTCGCCCTGCCGTCCCCCATGTACTTTTTTCAGGTGACTCTAATTTTCGCCTTCCTAACGAAAATTCTGTCCATTTTTCACAGCAACATGTATTCTTTGTATCTCCTGTTCAAGTAAGTCTCCGGTGGTTCATCAGAGATAATTGTTTGAATAGCTAAGTCCGCTTGTGCACATGCACCCTTCAACCTTGTCCACGTGCTAATAGAAAGGAGCACCACTGCAATTTACAAGGGAAGACTCATGTGTGCCCTCTTTCATCCCGTTTCTTTTTTTATTTTTTTTCAGTGGGAAAAAATGGAACATTCTAAAACTTCGTGTGGACACAAATTACTACACCAATGAGGAGGTCATTCTGGGTTGGTACACCGAGGCGGGGGAAAAAAACGATCCCGTGGACAGTGACCATGTTGTTAAATGAGTGAGAGATATCACCCAAACGGAGGAGAAGACACGATGAACTCCTTACTCCTATGTGAGAATGTTCACCTTTCCCCTTCCTACCACAGGCACCGTCCTCTTCACCATCCTGATTTTTTTGTATCCAACCGTTTTTGTACTCTTTTTAGTGTTCGGAATTATTTACGTCGTCATCAGCAGTGAGTTGAATCAGTGATGGGGGTGGCATGTCCCTGAGAAGAGGAGGGGAGACAGGCTGCAGATAGGGGCTACAGGACGACACGGCATAGGCCCACATGTGTGTGCACATATAATACGTAACACATCTGCACAAACGCTTCTTTCCATTAGGAATTATATACTGTCTCTCCCTGTTGAAGGAAATCATTTTGTACGCCCCCTTTTACGTCCTCCTTTTGAGGGGCTCTCAGAATGGCTACATCAGCAAGGGGATAAGGCTCACCGTGGGTAGGTTCCAGGAGGGGAACGCAAATGGGGGCGCCCACTGATTACCCCTTTTTCGCCTCCGTCGATCGGCCCGCCTCACCCATTTATTCTGTTTGCTTCCCTTGCCCTGTTCAGACAAACCAGTGGTATAAAAGGAGCACAAAGGGGGTTCAAGCTGCGCAAGCGACCAACGACGCTTCTCCCATTTGCGCAGTTCATCGGATCACTTCTCCCCTTGAGAACTACCACTTAGACCCCACCCATTGACGATTTTTTCTCACCCTTTTTTTTTTTTTTTTTTTTTCACACCCTTAATAGCATAACGTGGAATGGACAGAGCTGCCCAAGTCGAACTACCTGCTGCTGGAAAATTCCAATTTTGAATTTTATGACAAGATAAAATTGTTTGTAGAAATTTTCATCAACCGGGACGGTGCAAAAAGTGAGCTCATACACAAGTAGCGGAAATGAAATCAAATGACGCAGTGATGAATTAAAAAAAAAAAAAAAAAAGTTAAGAGCAAAACAAAAAAGGGGTGGAAAGGGATACAAATCAGGTTCCACGCCCGGTCAAACTCGAGTGGTAGTATTTTACACGGGGAGAAAAAAAAAAAAAGAAAAAAAGAAACGGTTCACAGAAAAATGGACAAAGTGGTGTACATACACAAACGGGAAGGAAACAGATCCGAATTTTTTTTTTTTTTTTTTTTTTTTTTTTCTTTTAAACATGCTCCTGTCCACATGGACTAAAACGTGTTGAGGTACTCCTCCAACTTGTGCTTATACTTATCGTTTATGTGTTGTATTCCTGATTTGAGTTCCTTCTGCAAAGAGGGGGTGGAGGGAGAGGGGGAAGAAAGGGCAAAGCAAAGTGAGGAAAAGGCATATTACCGAATGGATGGAAACATGTTCGCGAGGCAACAAGCAGACCGCACACAATAGGGGCAAAACACTTACATAAACAATAAGCGATCTCGTGGTGTCATAAAAGTGCAGCTTAAGAACATTTTTCATGAAGTTCAATTCCTTGTGACACCATTCCTTCTTCATATTTGTTATGCTGAAGGAAAAAAAAAAAAAAAATGGCGGTGAGTGAAAGAGGTGCACACGTGGGAGTTGCTTCTTAAACCGATGGTTAGGCTGTCATATGAGACAGTTAAGGGGGTTGAGTCAACGACGTTGTATCCCCATACACTCTGTTCATTTTTTCCTCTTTTTTTCCCCCCTGGCCGCTGATCCGTCAAATCGCCCTTACGTTCTGTTCTTCTTGTAGGAAGAGCTGTACTTGTTAAAGATATACTCGTTCTTGTGCACTTTTGGCGTCTCGTCCAAAAGCTCTTCTTCATTGTTGGAGTTGTATCGCCTGACCGTGTTAATATAATTACTGTCCAAATGATTATTTTGAAATATTTTTTCTGAGTTGTTAAAATTTCCTCCTGAAAAATCCTCCACATTATTATGCTCTTCATTGTTGTAACTGTAAATGTGCATTATCAACTTCTTGTTGTCGTTCTTATCAATGTATAAATCGATCAGCATTAGTGGGTAGCTGAAAATGATGAGCGCCTGATTCACATGACTGTTCGAGGGGATACACAGGAGGAAGTTCGTGCTGTCTTCGATGTAGTAGCAGTTGAACTGAGCGGGGGAGGTAAAGCAAAAAAAAAATGAAGCGGTCATTAGCCGTTACAGCCGTTACCGGTTAACAGTCCAGCCAAGTCATTTAAACAACTGCAGTTGCACGAGGGGTAAATGGATGGGTACGTATTAAACAAGCACACACAAGTGAGCAGCACAACGGCGCGCTAATCACACGAGCAAAGTCGAATTACAATTTTGTTGCTATTCTTCAGGTAGCACTTGATGGTGTTCTTGTTCTTTATGTCCACCAGGGCAGACATGTCGTTGTAGGTAAAGTCGAAGGGAATGATATGATCCTGTTCGCTGCAGGGGGGGGGAAACATCCGTTTGTATATTTTTTCCTCACTATTGCTTTCTTATTTTTTTCGTGTTTTTTTTTTTTTTTTTTTTTTTTTTTTTTTTTACCTTTTCGTGGAGGAAAGAAGACTCTGCAACTTGCTAGACACTCCATCTAAGACGAACAGGGCCTGGCAAGTGGTAAAGGAGAAGAGAGCATTGAAATAAAAAGGGCAGGGATGTGGATAAAAGCGATCAACGCGGGAACAAACACGCATCCGTAGGGCAGGTCTCACGGTAGCCACACACTACCATAAGTCACCCTCGCGGCGACTTCACCACACCTTGCCGCCGTCACTCAACCACCTACATGCACATTCCTTCTATATATTTCAATCTGCGAAACGGGGTAGCACAGGAAGTTGTTCTCGCCAGACTCTGCAAAAAGGAAAATGAATAAATAAATGAACAAATTAGCACACACACACACACAAGTGGCATGCTAGCTTGCACTTGTCCCACCCCCTCCTTGACGACATACCATCCACGTCATTCACAATGTTTATGAGGACGGAGTCTCGGCAAATGTTAATCTTTTCCTGAAAGCAGTTCTCGTATATCTTGCTTTCCTCCTGTGGAGGGGTAAAAAAAAAAAAAAAAACAGGGAGCCGTGTAGTGGGTGCACGATCATATAAAAAGAGAGGTCATCCGTGGTAGGGGCTCGCTTTAAAAAGCGGAAGCGGAAAAATTACCCAAAAGATCTGGCACACTTTGTACTCCATCTTCCCAATGATGCCCTTGATTTTGTTGGCTACCTTTTTCTTAATCTGTAGGGAGAGGGGGTGCGCGCACGTGGTGAAGTGAATGGACCGGTTGCCACTCAGCTGCTTCTACTCAGCCGCTTCTACTCAGCCGCTTCTACTCAGCCGCTTCGACTCAGCTGCTTCTACTCAGCCGCTTCGACTCAGCCGCTTCGACTCAGTCGTTGCGTGGGGGCGCATGCCGCCGCCACGGGCCTAACCTTCTGTATGAGCCCCAGCAGGGGTGTGACGAAATTCACACACACACGCTTGTCTTCTATCATCTGGATGTAGACCAGTGTCAAATTTATCACCAGCTTCAGGGTTATAATTCGAAGGTACAAATTATTTATATGAACATTAATGATGTTCCAAAACACGTATACAAAATTGTGATTAGAAATTTTAAAAAACGGGATGGTCATGTCGCTGATCTTTCCGTTGTATGATTTGACAAAATTTGAAACGAACTGAATGCTTAGGAGGAGGTACACATCTGATATTTTATTTTTCATGTTGTCCTTTTCGCATTTTTTAATATTTTTTTCCTTCTGTACGTTGGTGAGCAGGAGGAAGTTTAGTAGTATCGGGTTGCTGAGCTCGTCGTACTTCATCATCGCCTCGGGCGGGACGCCTGTCGCAGTGGCGTTTGTCGGCGCGGCGCTTCCTGTGGCTGTGACTGAGGTTGCATTGGGACTTTGCACAACGGGGGTAACTTCACCATGTCGTGCGCGAATGCACGCGACGGATCCATCCCCGGAGGTCGGTTCAACCTCCTTGGAAGGCGTCCGCCCCCCCATGTAGTATCCCTTCATCAAGTCCAGGCAAACCATCTCCTCCTCCTTGTTATACTCAGGAAGTAAATTTTCAATAGAGGAGCAATACACATTTTCAAATTCCATGTCATCTGTGGAATTCTCACTGACGTTGACCTTCTTATGAGGATCGAAGAAGGAGTTGTAGAAGTAGGGGTCCTTCAGATCATTGGATAAAATTTTGTATAAGAATTGCACGTTGATGTACTCCCCAAAGATAATCGAGTACACAATTTGATTCAACTTTTCATTCTTCAATATATTTAGTGATCTTATTAACATGAAAAGGGACAACGTGGTATTGATTAAGTAATTGTAGAGGATGGAAAAATTCTTAAAAGAGTTGACGTAACACAGGGGGTGTAAGAGGAGACCTACTTTAAAGATATTATAATAAACATTTGTCACGCTCATTCTGTTTTCATAATGCTTCAGCACCCTTGTCGTGAAGGAATTATAATTGAAGAGGTAGTTGTACAGGTCGCTATTCACGTTATCGTCGAAGGTGATTTTTTTTTGTAGCGTGGGGATCTCCACATGGCACAGGTGGGTGAGGTTGTGCTTCTGAACTTGTTCCCAAAAGGCACCGCCCTGCATCAACTGCTGCGCCTCGTCCAGTTCGTCCTCTACTGTCGGGCAGCCACCGCCACCCCCCCCACCATTCGCACTTGCATTCGAGGTCGTGCTTCTTCTATTCTTATGAAGAACCCCGTTGGTCGAGGTCATTTGGATGAAAATTTTTTTTTTCTTTCGTTTTTTGAAGTAGCTATTTTTCAGTTCATTTTCATGTATGAATTGCTCTTCCTTTTTCTGTCCATCCTTTTGCACTTGTCCCTGTGCATGGCCTTCACTGTCAACGTCCTTCCCTTCCGTCCCCTCCTTCCCCCCATCGGAGAGCTTATCTTCTGCCTCCTTTTCCTTATTGGCGCTGTTCCTCGCGCGGAAGTACAGGAACTCGTATGTGTTGTCTCCCCTCTTGCTGCTTTTCTTCGTGCCGGTAGTTGGTTCCTCCTCGGTTGGCACGTCTCCCTTTATTGACTCTCCTTCCCGGGTGGGCACTTCTTCCTTGGTTGGTACCTCCTGCTGCGGTTCCGCTCTGGCCGCCTTCCCCATTTGCACGTTACTCAGGTTGGAGTTCACAGAGGATGCATTCGAGGAAGACAGACTTTTACAAAAATCGAAATTTTTTACATTTTTTAAATTATTATCAAATAGCTTTATAAACGGCACACGGTTAGTACCCTTTATACTTTCTATCACTTCCTGTGGGAGGTCGCATTGGTTCATCTTTTCTCGCTCCCCCGGCTCGTCCACGTCCGCACCGCAGGGTCTGTTTTCTCCGGAGTGATCAGTGAGGGGGGTTTCCTCCTCCACTTTCGAATGATCATCTGTGGGGATTTCCCCATTAGCCTCACTATCTGGGGGAACGTCCCCCCCAGTGTCCTCCCTCTCATCTGACGCAGCCTTCTCCTCGCCAGTCTTTTGACTAGAGAAGTACACATAGTCGATGCTGCTGCAGTTCACGGGGTTACTAGAGTTGGCCACTTGGTCTTCATTCAGGAAGAAAGCATCCTCTCTTTTGTCTCTCCCTTGGCATTCACCCCCTTTGCCCCTTGCGCTCTCCTTTTCGTTACCATTTGCGTTACCACTTGCATTACCATGTGCGTTACCGCTTCCCCCGCCCGAGTCGTCCTCACAAATGCCCCCTTGGCCAAACGCACTGACACAGTCGAAGTATATAGACGTGTGAAAGGAACCAATCATGGGAAAAAAAAAATAAATTAAAAGCTTCACTAGGAGCATATCATTTATCCTTTTCTTCTCACAGGTGAGCATGTCCTCGAAGAAGTACAGCACGTCGTCCACTTCTTCCAGGTAAGTATTAAACATTTTCTTCAATTTTTCCGATTCCTTTATTTTTGTGTAAATTTTATTCATCCTTATGACATGATTGCGGAGGTAACAAACGAGAATGGTGAAGAATGAAGACCGCAGCAGGATAAGATTTTCAATCCCCTCATCTTCGACTACAGGGAGAAGGGTGAATTAAGTGTGAAATAGGGGAGTGGAGCCGATTGGGGTAAACTCCCTCGCACGGTCTAATCTCAAATATGCAACAAGCCGCCATGCTACTCCCTCTTTCACTCCAGGCACAGACTTACTCTTCAAAATGTTCAATATAATATTTTTAACGTAGGTTCTCGTAATGATGTCATTAAACTTGTACAACCTTAGCGATTCGGTATACAGGGGAAATTTCATACTCTTCTTCGTGGAAGGGAAAAAAAAAAAAAAAAAAAAAAAAAACGGGAGTGGTGATACGTATTAAGGTTGAGAAGGGGGGAGTTACGTCGCGGTGCCAACGCCTCGGCATATGCACACACAAATAATAAGAACACGGCATTCCTCACACTGCATGCAGCCGCTTTGTCTGTGCTTACCTCGTTAAAGAAAAACTTGGATGTGTGGTAGTTCAGGAAAAACGAAATGGACTTTATCATGGAAATGTAGTAGGGCATAATCTCATCGTCTTGGTAAATGAATGTTGTATAAATTAGGTTGTTTATTTTATTGTTGCTGAAGATGTAATCTGCGAAAGGGGGGGAGAGAAGTGTCACAGTTGAGAAGCCGTTCTGCGAAGTTTCTTTTTTTTTTTTTCGCTCCTTTTTGTGCTTCTCCCGATGGATAGCACCCTCGTGGGCCAAAATCCTTACACAGGGAAATATCCTTTTGAAGATTTTGTATCAACAGGGTAAGGGACTGGTAAATTTGAATCCTTATGCTTTTGTTAATGTTTTGCCTCAGCAGGTATATGAAGTGGTTGAAGATGTTGTCTTCGCAGAAGTACCTTCGAGGGGGAAAGGGGGACATGTTTGGATGAGCAGTTACACAGAGGAACCTCTCTACATGGACAATTCGTGGGAAGAGGAGCTGTTCTTTCCCTTATTGGGGACCTCTCCCTCCACGGTCTATTCCTCCCCTTCCTCTTCTACATTTTTTCCGACTCTCTCTTCTTACTGAAAAATCTGGTCATCATATTTGTCGCCCCAAATTGTTATCTGTGTGATTTTCCTCAGCAGCTCGATGAAGTTATTTATGTTAACGTTGTTCAGATTTATCTTCACCAGCTTTTCAAAGTAGTACCTATATATAGGGGGTTGGAGGAGAAAGCGATACGGACATGGTGAGGAAGTGGTGGGGACACGCTGCCTCAACGGGGCAACACTTGTGTGACAGTCCTACACTGGCCCTACCTCAAGTCCTCGTGCGTATAAACCTCCTTCTCATTTTTGTTGTTCTTCAGCTTGTCGTCAATATTATTAAAGTTAAATACATTCCACATATTGGCAACGGAAAAAAAAAAAAATAAAATAAAATAAAGAAATTCTTTTTCAACAAATCATTACAAACTCTTTAAAATGTTGACATTCAGGTATACCCAAAATTACAGGGTATGAAAAAGTCAACCTGTTATGCATAATGTATGCTGTGTTGTTTTTATGTGCTCTTTTGGAGACATTCATGATGTGATGAGTCAAATCGTTTTTTTTTTTTTCTTCCTCGTCTTCTCACTTGAACGTGGCCACATGTGCGTGGGAATTTTATATGCTATTATGCGCATTTGTATTCACGTTCGTAAAATACGTTTCAGTCCTGTTTTTTTTTTTTTTTTTTTTTTTATCCGTTATTATTTTTGCTTGTTTCTGTTCTTCTTTTGCCTTTTTTTTTTTTTTTCCTAACAACTACACGGGGGAAAAGTCGCTGCCAAAAAAAAAAAAAAAATTTTTTTTTTTACGACGCGCCTTGGGCGTTGTCCGCTCCGGTACCATTTTGCCCCACCTTTGCGTTTTTGCAACCTCGTGCATTTTTGTGGTTCTTTTCTGCCCCCTTTTTGCCCATTTTTTTTTTTTTTTTACAACTTTCTGTTACAATTGTGTTTTCCGTTTTCACTTTTTTTTTTTTTTTTTTTTTTTTTTTTGCCAAAGGATAAGCACACACTTCCCATACGAGCGAGGAGTTTTCTGCATAGTTGCGTATTCTTTGGCGAATGCAAACGAAAAAAGGAGCCCCCAAAATAGCCAAAAAAATAAAAATAAAAAAAACCTACGGCGTATGCCGTTGTACGAAATTGCTGTTGTAGTTGTGCAGGCACGGGAGCACCTGCGGGGGTGAACTTGATCGTAGCCATAGCCGCGGTCAGGGCAATAATCGTGGCAGTTGGTGCGAGAGTAGTTGTAACCGCTACCACAGCGGCACCTCCAGTCGCACCTGCTACTCTCAGAGGGCCCCCACCAATGAATAAGGACGAACAGAAGAAGGAGGAAGTTGTTAAGGCAACCGCCCCCAACGAATCAGGTAAAGCAACTGAACGGTAAACGCACACTTGCCCACATATATAGAGGCATGTGCGTGTGTGTAGCTTCACTTGAGAGAATTCCTCTGTATCGACTTCCTACCCTACGTCTGCCCCAATGCAGTCCACATGAACCCCCCCTTTCTTTAAACTTCGCATAACCCATGTGCAGGTGCAAAAATCAGCATTAACCCGAAAAAGAGGAACTATCAGGATTTGAAGGAAAATATGAGTAAGGCGTGACCCCTAAAGTTCGCCCCCCGCGGGTGTGCCGTTTGGATACATGTTAACACGTGTGCCTCTACGCATAGCACAACCGAGACGACATATTTTGTCCCCCGATCCCCCCGCAGACATAAAAAGCGTTTTGGCATTCGTTCCGCGGAGCGTCCAGTTAAATGAGAGAAAAAATGCCTAAGAGACGATGAAAGGGATGGTCTTCTACACCACGGCGCTGTGTATCCTTTTGTTCAAATGTACAGTGGGAGGCCATGGAAGGGTCGTAAAGAGGAGCCCACGACCCACTGTGATGTATGTAAAAGTCGCTTCCACTTGTCGACTCAGGAAAAGTACGTATAAAAGTACGCAAAAGGATACGCAAAACAATACGCATAAAAATGAGCTTCAACATAATGCCTATAGCAGCGCGCTTACATATAATGTGCATCTCCCAAGCAGTTTAAATATTGCGAGTGTAAACTTGGATGACGGTGTCCTCGAAATTGGGAACCTCCCGCTAAGCACCTACAACATCGTGTCAGTTGACTACGGCTATAGTTTCATGGGTAAGGGAAGCAGGCAAATGACGCGTTCGCGTCAGCGTAGCAAGAGCGTCATGCATGTGCAGTCCAGCGCTCACGTCACCACGTGGTTGAATGCCGCTGCAAATGGATGCTTTCCCAATTTGCATACATGGCTTCGTAACACCTCTGAAAAAACCAACTCCCCGAACACAGGTCTGTGTGTGCGATGTAAGAACAAATATATATACGAGAAAATCACCACAAGACATAAGCATTTAATTTACAACAAGGAGTTTGATGTACCCCTCAAGGAAAATGTCATTCTGTTTTATTCCCTGTACTTTAATGGCTACATTAATAATTTTTTTTCCTTTTTCCATTACCTGTTCGAATGCATATATAACAGCAATGTGATCGTTCTCATCGGATGCAACGGGTAACCGAGAGCACGAGAGGGAGGACTCTTCTGAGGGAGTTAATACATGCTGGAACATACACAGAGTTTACCTGATCACGTTTCTCTGTGTGCACGGACATAAAACAATATCCTCTCTAACGTGCCGTGGTGGGGCCACAGGGAATCCCCACTCGTTCAAGTCCCCCCAAAGCACACTTGCATATACCCTGCTAATGTATACACATGCACACATTCACGTACGTGTGGGCGCCACTGTTTACTTTTTACAGACCGCACATGAACATGCTTGCAAGCGATATGGGCAGACACCTGTGCTATTTTATGAATGAGGTGAATGGCGAGAGAAAACCTCCCCCGGGGGACAGCACAAGAAGAATTCCCTTCGAAGTGAAAAACGAATTGATTACATTCAAAAATAACAATATTTATAAAACACAACAAGATTATTTTGTGGAAAAATATTGTATCATGTCGGGCAAAGTAAATCCAAACATGGAAAACAAAACGGACAATTATTTAAACTTCTCATTAAAAAATATGGTGACCAAAGTGAAGGATCATAATAATACTTTATTTTCAAAATTTTACAACAAAAATTGTGCAGGCAGAAAGGATGCACTATCTGCTTGCTATCTGCTGGACTACTTTTGTAACTACTATGAAAGTAGTGGAAGTTCTTTTCTGTTGCCCTCCAGGAATGTCAATTATGTATACCATGTAAAGAAGTGACCCCCGAGTAGCGTATTTTCGCTGCGTGTCCAAGTATCTGCCCCGATGGGGGGGGACAGTCATTTACACACGAATGTGCAGCATGGGTGAATGTGTACGTGTGTACACTTCTACGTAGCATCCACGCTTGTACATAGATTGTTCCTTATGCGCTATTGCATAAATACGTTGTAGACGACCTCGGTTATGCGATGTTCCTATTGGCACAAAATTATGCTTCACAGCAATTTTATTTCTTCACCCCTTTGTACTGACAAAAGTTTGAAGCGTCATTAGGCAGGTGCCAGTGTCGCCTTTTTATTCGTTCGTTAGGTTCAGCTACCTACACACTCGCTAGCTCGTTTATTTTTATTCATTTATTTTTTTTTTTTTTGCAAATTATTTTTTCGAAATGGCTGACCTGTGCATATATTTTTTTTTTGCAACACTTTTGATTTCCCCTTTTTGGCTAACAAAGCGAAGATTTGCTTTTAATTAATTTTTTTTTTTTTTTGTAAAGTATATATGCTAGGTTTGTATGAAAACTGCAACTTTGCCGCGCACGCGCGGGTACATATATTACATAAATATGAGCACTAGTATCGCTACTTGGCTACCTACTGTGCGAGTGAGTTGTTTAAACCTCGTTTTTGTGGAAGGAGAAACTGCGCTTTGGAAAAAAAAAAAAAAAAGAAAGAAAATGAACACGGGATGAGCAAAGCTACCTGACCTGTTCATACAATTTTGTAAAAAAAAAAAAGAAAGAAACAGCCAGGAGGGGTGGAAAATGCAAAGACTGCAAAAAAAGAAGGCTACATTGTTTTGACACCTTTTTTAAAGTGAGGTGAGCAAATCATTATCAGTGATATTCCCCCGGAGCGTAGCCTCCCACCTGCGTAGTGCTCCCACAGCTACAAAATGACACAATGGTAGAAATCAACGAAATTGAATTTATTGAAGAACCGGAGTACTTCAAACTCCAACATGGGTCTTGCTTCTGCATGGTGGAGGAGGAAAAGAAACGAAATGAAAAATTCTCCAGCGAGGAAAAAAAACTTGCGAACAGCAATTTCACCATAAGCAATGCGACGCAGAAGGGGATCTACATTTTTAATAAAAAGTTAAACGTTTTTTCCCTGTCTGACTTTCTGTACAAAATTGACAATGAAAACAGCAAGGACAGCAGTGACAAAATAAACATAAAATCACAGCCCTTTGAGGAACATGTCCTTTTAATTGAAAACAACAAAACGGACACGCAGGCTTTTTTGTGCACGGACCAGCAGAATATTTACGTGTTTGACTATGGCAGCGAGAAGGTGAAGCTCCACTGCCGGGTGGACGTACCAGTGCGAGGGCTCAAGTATATAGGTATGGCACACGCGACTTTGCATCGTGCACGTGTACCCCCCTGCGCTTACGTGTGTAATGTTTGAATGTGCTCAACTCCACACTTCTCTGTTTCCCCCCTCCCTCTCCCTCTAAGATGACCACCTGTTCCTAATTCTGAGCGCCGATGAACGAGTGCACCTCATGAAGAACAAGAAACTGTACGAGTGCCAGGAGTGGACAGACCAAGTGAACAACATCGATGAGAAAAACGGAGTGTTCCTCTTCACGTACTCGAATAAAGAAGTGTTCATTTTGAAGGATTCCCAAAAAAGTAACACATACGACTTGAGTAGTATAAGTAAAGAAATTGACATTTGCCATGAGAAGTGTAATATAATGTGCGCAAAAATTTTAGAAGCCCAAAAAAATATGAGGACAATTTTTCTTATGGTTTTGTACAAGTACGAGGAGGATCTGACGACCATTATGTATGACCTGCAGATAGAACAGGACAAAATAAAGAAAGTCACATACTCCATTAATGATTTTGATTTCCAAAATTATGAAAAGAATTTTGTGAAATGTATTTACATAAGCGAGTGGCAGACGATTGTAGCCATTTCCTCCGAGTCGTGTGAGGCGGTCGTTTATACAAGAAATGGGAACATTACATCTGGGGGAAGCGTTGCTCATTCAAACGCTACAGAATGGGACAGGTCTAGTGGATTAAAATTCTTGAGCGTAATGGAAGGATACAAAATAAACACGCGAGACTCGGAAACATTTTTTCTTTCCCTATTCATGTATACAAAATACGAAGACAAAATTTATAGGAAGAGTAAAATAGGGAATGTTCCATTTTTGAAAAATCCCTGCGTTTTTTTTGCCCTCCAAGATAACCACAAAATTGTGGTGGAGTATTTGGACAAGTACAAGTTGGTGGACAACACTGATTTTTCTACCAACGCTGTGGTGGAGGGAGATGCAAATGAATGCGGAATGAAGGAAGTGACTGTCCTGCCAGATTTGAAACAGGACGTGATAGAAGTGTATGAAGCGGTCTCTTCCAATTTGTTTAATATATTCAAAGTCAAGGAGGAGAAAGTCACCCAGAATAGAATGGATCCAACGAAAAGTAACGAAGTGGTTGTGGAAAATAAAAAGGAAGGCTTCTTTGACCTTTTCCGAAGTAGTAAGGTTAAGTTCAGTGAGGGGAAAGGGGTCGATGATAGTTTGAAAAGTACCGACAAGGAAGTACCCCCAGGGAAGGAAGACACATGTGTCGTGGACAAACAACGTGGCGTAAATATGGAGATGTATACACCTTTTAAAGCATCCCCTGTGTTCAAGGACCCCCCTCCAGATGAGATGCAGCGAAAGAATCAAATTGTTAAAGAACGGAATCATCTGTACAGATGCATTCGAAGAAGCGCAAAAGTGTACGAAGATGAAAGTTACATTGTGAACGAGTTATCTGATGGGTTCAACAAGTTAATAAAAAGTGGGATTTATTTTTGTGAAGAATTTTTGAATCATTTAAATGTACGTTCTATAGAGAAAAGGAAAGGACCCAAAGTGGGTTCAAGGAAAAAGGAGTGCTATTATGACAAGGGGGTGGACAAAATTGTGTTCTTACGTGATAGTGTTATCGGGGAGGATGTAGAAGACATAAGGGAAGAAGACGATGAGGACGAGAAGAAGAAGAAAAAAAAAATAACAAGAAGGAACAACAAAAATGAATTTCATCATCATTTCCATTGTGAAGATTTTGACTTTTACAAACATAAGAAATTATCCGACCGTCAGTGTGAACGGATAATAAAAAAAATTGAGCGTAGGCAAGGTTTTCTGAGGGGCATAAAAGAAATTTTTTTTAGTGAAGAAGAAGGCACAAATGATAAAGCGCAGCGAAAGGACAAAGCGGAGAAGACGGCGGTTCCCTCTCACAAGGACGAACGAACGAAAGATCCATTTAATAGGGACATTCAACTTCATATTTCAAATGAAGAAAGGAGCAAATTTTATGAACACTTAGATTCGTACTTTTCCAAAAGGAAACTGCTAAAAGTGAGGAAGGAAATTTTCAATGACTTAAAAAATGACAAACTTGGCAGGGGACAGATATTCGAAACGGTCCTCTACAACATATTCAAGCAAGGTGGAATGAAACATTGTGAAGCGTTTATTTATTTTTTATTAAAAAATTTGGAGGTCAAAATATTCTCCAGTTCTTTTTTTTTACTCGAGTTGTATTTTGTACATCTCCTCTCTCCGTACTTTAATCATAATAAGACAAATGTTCGTCCATCCTATGGGCTGAAAAGTGCACCAAGCATAAAGCTGTCTTCGTTAAAAGACCTATTAGGTGCCCCTTTTAGTGGAGGCAACCGGACCACTGCTCACCCCAGTTATGAGGAAAAGCACCCCCCTCCCCTGGACAGCGACTACAGCACACATGACGTATCAGAAGATGATCTATTAAAGAAAATAAAAAGTGAGAAAGATTTTGTGAAAAAGAATGAGTACTTTTCAAAAGTGATTCCCTTGTTTAATGAACCCACCAGCAGGGAAAGCGAATCCGCTTCGTTCCATTTGATGCACGCTGGTATCCACTTTGCCAACAAGAGGATGTGCAACACCCTTTCTCAGAAGCTCTTCCCGATTCTTGTGGATAGTAGCTTGAACAAGATGGACGACGAGTTAGGGTTAATCAAGAACTACCTCTTCGATGTGGTTTTGAGTAGCAGCTAGGTGTGTATGTGTGGGGGGCGGGTGGGCGGCCCCATCGGGGAGAGACCCGAATAGAAGCACCACGTTTGCATGACATGGGTGCGTGTTATTTGCGCATTTTTTTGTGCCCATTTTTTTTGCCTATTTTTTGTTGCCCATTTTTTTGTCCTTGCTGTTCCTTCTTCCCGGCGCAGCCCTCATTTCATCCAACCGACTTATGCGACAAATGAATTTGCGCCATGTAACCGTGAACCCTAAACCGCTCCCCGTTCCCTTCAAACCATTTTACAGCTCCCCCTTTGGAGCCACCTCTTCACGCTCAGCATGACCGAAAAGTTATTTTCGCCATCTTAAAAGAACGGATTTTAAAAAAAATTAATTCGAACAACAGTTTATTTGCAACGGGATACGCGCATTGAAAAGTGAAGCTGGTACAAAAAAAAAAAAAAAAAAAAAAAAAAAA